ACCCACCACCAATCAGAGTTTTTAAATCTGAGATTATTTTCTCAAACTTTTGCACAGCAAGAACTCAAACAGGGAAAGGATTTTTTTTCTAACAATTCTACCTACAAGCGGACTCTACCCAGCCTCAAAAACTAATGTTGGATAATCTCCGCAGTCCCTCTGTTTATTTCTTGTATCTGCTGATGAAGAACACAGGCGTGTTTGAAAATTCCAAACTTGGAACCTCAATCTCTGTGCTTCATTTTTGGTTAATATTAATAAATGTTTCTTGTACTGATTTCATTGATACTCTTTTGTCTGACATTGTTTTATTGACCAACTTATCTACTCTATTTTATATATATATATATATCTTTGCATCATCCAAATGTCTGTCAGTTGTCAGGTAAAATCTGGCAAGAAAAAAAGATCACATTTAGACATGAAAAATACCAAGTACCCACCTACACATTTACCTTGTAAAAGAGAATACCAGTAATAAACAAAAATACAGGAAGAACGTATTGAAAAAGAGATAAAAATAACAACAGAAACAATGATATTTCATGGACAGTTTGAGGGTGACACCAAGGCTATTAAAACTAAAGCTATATGAGATTGGTTGACAAAAGTTGAATTTTAACGCAAAACTCGAAGTCTATTGGTAACCACCCAAGATCAAATATGAATATTAATTCTATTTGGAAGAACGTCTACCACCAAGTGGATTTGGAAATGGAAGTGGAAAATGTCATCCATATCATTAGTGCTTGTGGAATGCTTACACAGAAAGAACGAAAGTGCTGCCATGATATGGTAGCCTCTCATCTGTATTAGTGCCTGTGTAGGAAGTGTGAGCCTAAAGTTGAACAAAAATGGTAATGTCAAAAATACCTTCATGTTAATTGTTCTGATGAACTTTCAATAGCAGGACAAACTGGGTTCTATAGCCTCAGATGGCAACTGGTCTACTGCAGAAAGAAATGGCAACCTACTGTGAGGAAAAATTCTGCCTTGTCAGTCATGTATCAAAAGATACATGATTGCCTAAGCATGTATCACGCATGGCACATAACTGGATGAATGAATTTTGAAAATCTCATTTTAAATTTGAAATGAAAAAATTTAGAAGTTCTATACTAACAATTTCTTTTCAACTTCTCACTTTTGGAACTCTTTTCTACAGAAAATTTTGCTTTCCGGTCAACTTTGATCTTCCAAAATTTAAATGCAATTTCAATCGTTAACTTCTGCCTTCTTAATTCTTGTTCATTTATTGTCGTCTCTCCTTAATAGTGTTTTTTCTTATATTTTCTAACACTCAGTAACCCCCATGTGTCTTAGTGGCTTTATTGCCTTTCTGGGGGCAAAATGATAAAAAAATAAAAAGCCACAAGCCCAAGATAATCAAAAATGACTAAATCAAGATCTTATGGGATTTTAACATCCTTGAGATTATCAAACCAGACATTAGTCATTTAAAAAAAAAAAAAATCCTCCTGCCAGGGATGGTTTACAACCATATTCAAGATCAAAAAAATTACCAAGCTTAAAAATACAAAAACGTTCAAAAGAGGTTGCTAGAAAATCAGATTTTCTCTTTGTTTAGTTGTCATTGAGATTGGGTTTTGAACTAATTGTGAACTTAAAGTCTGACATTAAGAAAATCAGAATAAAGCTTTGGTATCCTATTGATTCAGAAGATAAAATTTTTATTTGGCAATTTTTCAGATTCTTATTTGTTTGAGGTTGTATGAATTAATGGCAAACATCTCGTTGAAACACCAGTTCCCGTATGATTATTGAAGTTAAGCAATGTCAAGCCTGGTCACTACCTAGATGGGAGTTCCAATCCCAGTTGGGTTCATTATATTCACTTACATGCAAAAATAATGGGAAAAGTTATGAATCAATCTTTCCCCCCCTCCCAGTTATTTTTTTGTTATCAAATAAACCATTAACTAAAAAAAAAAAAGTTTACAATCTAAAAATATTTTCTGGCTTTAGAAAAATAATGCAAAAATTAAAAAAAAAATGAAATTTGTGCAAAAAAAAAAATAAAATCAAAAAAATAAAAAAAATAATAAATCCCCAAAATGTTAAAAAAGACAAAAGTGTTAAACAGATAAAGTGTCAAAAGGCAAAATGATGGATGGACAAAATGCCAAATGGATTAAGTATTGAATGAACAAAGTGCCAAACAGAAAAGTCAAATTGACTAAATAACGAAAGCCCAGAAATGTATCTACAATAGAATACCTTTTACTTAGCATGCAAGTATCCTGCTGATAAATAACTTTTAAAAATTTAAATATTAAAACCTCCAATGAAAAAAAACTTTCTACATAATTGCTCTTTTTGAACAAGTACCTGAATTCAAACTACAGTAGTTAAAACTTTTATTTATTAAATGATGCCAAAGTTAAGCAATAAAAAGTTTAGAATAACGTATTTGAACCAAATTTTTAAAATCATGACGATATGTTCGTTTTTACTTTGTTCAACATTTCCTCCTTTTGAAACTTTCCTTTTGACATTATGTTCATTCGATAGTCTGTTTGACCTACTACCAATAATAATGGCTCTAATGACATAAACTTACATCTCTTTTCTTTGGGATGTCCAAATCTTAAAAAAAAATTTGATTAAATTTTTCAATTTTAGAACAGGGCCCCATGTGTTGTGACTAAACTAAAATTGATTTAACTTCACCAATATTTTTATACAATAAGATCCATCATTTGATGTGTTGAGTTTATAATACATATTCTGACAAAGCCAAAAAAATTTATAAATTTAGTTTTTAGTTTGCCTAATTTCAGGCATTCAATTGAGATAAAAAAAAAATCCAAATTTTTTTTTTTTAAATTCAGTATTTTATTTCCATTAAAAAACCATCACTGTATGCAAAAAAATAAAAAAAAATTGCAATTACATAAGCTAAACATCAAAACTGAAAGTGTCATTTAGATATCTACTCAAGTTTAACAAACTTATTTACAATTTTTTTCCATCCAGTGATGTGCTGTATACTAATAAGATCAATTAAAATGGTTTGAACCAGCCGGGTGGCAGGTTATACCCAAAGATAACGTGATCATGTCTGTACATGCCGTGTTCTCCCTCATCTTATTCTTCTTCCTCCAAGTACTGTCATCTTTACATTTTTTTTTTTGGTGGTGGGGAGGGGGAGGGGGTCTTTTGTTTCTGTGAATTTCTAATACCACTTTAGTACTTTTCTCATTTGAAGATTACTTACCTGTTTCTTTTAAAAAGAAAAAGAAATACACATTTTTTTTTTTTTTTCTTCCTTATATTTTTTTTTTTTTTTATAGAAAACCTTGGACCTTCATGCCCCCACAAAAAAAATGTTTCAAAAGGAGTATTTGATATTAATACCAAGCAACTTTATTTTAAAGATTTAATAACTTTTTAAATTTTTATTATTTTAAAAAGCGATTATTAAAATTGTAAAAAGCTTAAACATATGAAAGTGAATTTATACATTTTCTTTGTCTTTGAAAACTGATAAAAAGAAAATAAGCACTATTAGATTGTTTATTGGAATGGTTAACAAAACATCAGCTAATTCCCAATTGATTCAAACTTTATAAAATGATAAATAAGGATTTCCTTATAGTTGTTTTTTTTTTTTAAAACATTGCTGATAAGTACAGGTAGTTAAAATAACTGATATCAATTGAAAATTTGTCATTTTAAAGACTGATTTTTTTTTTTTTCCATGCACAAAGATTCAAGTTTGTCTTTATCAAAAAAAACAATCAGCAAAGAAAAATATTATTTTGGTATTAAAAAAATTCAATTCAAAAGGTGACATTGTAGGACTTAAAAAAAAAAAAAAAAAAAAAAATTTTATTTTAAATTTCCTTGATATTTTATTCATTATATTTAAAATTCATATAAGAAGGTGGACCGAAAACTTCATAGGCTATGAACTTTTCAGCCAACCCTTATATATTTAATTATATTTTCAATTACTTTGTGAAGATTTCTGAAAAGATCTGACATTATTTGGATACTTCAGTCTCTTTGTATACATGTCATTAACATGTTTGGGCTGATCCATTCTTTGGTTTTCCTCACATACCATCCATGTAGCTAACATGGTTAAAAATAGACCAGTCTAGCAAATATATAAAACAAAATATTTATGTCATGTTTGCTGAAATTAAAGGTTTCCTTTTTCTTTAAAATTAAATCTGATTGGAGAGTAAAGAATGGATCAATTGAAATGCATTAACAGCAAATATACAATGAAGACTTTGAAACATTGAACTGGCCTCATCAATATATTTCGTATTATGCTAATATTGTTATATTATCTAAACACACATTATTTCCAAGTGGGTATGTAAAGAATTTTTCTTTAAACCAATAAAGAGAAACATCTTTCAGTTTTTTAAAAAATAAGGAACATTTCATCTTTATATCACAGTATGTGAGTGGGGCGACTGTATGAGTGTACCTCAAAATAGCCCTTGAAAACAGGGTCAACACTTCTGACCACTAATTAAAATTGTTAGAACAAGGAATTCATTATAATTGAGTGTGTGTGTATATTTTACAAATTCAATTTTTGTACATTTGAAAAAAAAAAATTTAGCTAACCAAAAACAATAACCCTAAATTTGAAAATTACCAAAAATTTATATTTTGATAATATATTATTTATTTTTTGGTGATATTTTTAACTTAATATATTTTACTTGCAACAACAGTCAAGCCCCAAATTTGTAAAACAAAGTCCCTAAAAATATTGGTTTTCATGTATCACTTTCAGTGTACTTTGTTATGTCAGAAAGGGATTTCATAATTCAAGTTGAAATTACATTTTATTAAAAATGAATTTAGAGCAATTTATTTATGCATAAAACTTTATTTTTAAGGTCAGCAATCAAACTATATAAAAAAAAAAAAAAAAAAAAATTGCGATAGTGATTTTAAAAATGCTGCACAAATATAAAGTTAAAGTAAAAATTAATGGTTTCAGATTTTGCAAAATCCTGTATGTTCCCTGAAGTTAAGCATTGTTGATCCTGGTTAGTACCTAGATGGGTGACTGCTTGGGAATACCAAGTGCTGTAAGCCTGGATGTGTGGGTGGTGTGATGGATAATAGGAATTGTTAATTAGAGAGATCAGTTCCAATTCCAGTTGGGTTCATTATATTCACTAATGTGCAAATATCCTTGAGAAAGGCATGAATCCACCTCTCCTTCCTCCACCAGCTATAGGTTATTTAGTAAGACTTGTATCACTAAAATGTAAAAAAAAAAAAAAAAAAAAAAAAAAAGTTTTTTTTTAAACAATCTAAAAATATTTTCTAGCTTTGGCTAATGTTCAAAGGATTCATAAAATCGTAGAAAACGAATCAACCAATCAAAATTCTTAATGGGTTTTATCATCATAATCCTTTCACAAGACATGGAAATTCTATGGTGGCTTAAATAGTAAGGATGCAAATCAATTTAGTCTTTGCAAAGTCTACTTCCTAATCCAGACTAATTTTTTTTTCCCCCTGAGAAAAAAAAAAAAAAATTAAAAAAAATTCTTTAAAAAGAATGTTTTTCTCTAGGAAGGAGGGGAAGAGAGAAGTAAAAGAAAAAAAAAAAATTCTACGGAATTAAAAATCTTGGGATATATATACCTAACAAGCTTTCCAATTATTAATATATTTACTGTGTAATTAATACCTGAATTCAACTTGTCTTAAATGCTATGTATTAGAGCAGAATTATAAACAGCCTTTTTTTTAATGCTAAAGTTGGAATTATTCTTAAAAAAAAAACCAAAAAAAAACACAACATCAACAACACACACATAACTATTTACTTTTGTGATTCCTGCAATTTAGAAACCAGGAATTCAAAAATCATTAGGAATATATTTTTATTGCCAAAGTTTGCAATTATAAAGTCAGATTTCAGAATTGATCTCTGGCAGTTAGCGCGTTCAAGTAACGTACATCCAACCAGTTGAAAAATAACCAATCTGCTTGAGCCACAGACCCAAAACCTATTTTAGTGAGAAATTTGTAAAATAGAGTTTACAAATACTAAGAGTGTATTTGAAAAACACAGCTTAATTTAGCACAAGATCATTGTAATAGGGTGTCCATTAAGTGTTAATGCCCATAGAAAATTAGATTAAGACAAGCTTGTCAAATATATTTAAAGGAGGCATCTTATTCTGGCACAACTGCAATTGTTTAAATGTCCAAGACTGGTAGTTATTTGCTTTGTTAAATTAACTGAATAAGTCTTGAGAGTCACTCAAGGTAGAAGAATACTGAATGAAGTGGTGAGCATAATGATTTTGTTTGGTTAGTTTTTTGTTAATGGCTTATCAACCCATTACAGTTCATTTAAAGTCAGAAAATATTTTTTAGATTGTAACAATTTAAAAAAAAAAAAAAAAAATTTATGATAATTTAGTGATACAAGTCTTAATTCACCCATAGCTGGGGGCAGGAGAAGTGGATTCATATCTTTCCCAAGGACAGTTGCACATAAGTGAATGTAACAAACCAAACTGAATTTGCAACTGCTCTCTGATTAACAATCCCAAGCAATTATCCATTAAACCACCGACACATCCAAGCTTACAACTGGTATTCCAAAGTGGTCACCCATCTTATCTTTTTTAAAGCATTTCACCCCAAGCAAGGCAGGAATGGAGTGCCACTAGCACGCAGGGATTTACAGGGAGTGAAAGTGAGAGAAAAGACTAGGGGGTATTGAGTTAAGGATAAAAGATGAACAAAAAAAAAAAAATAAATAAATAAAAGTTGATAGATGGTGGTTGACACTGCATTTAAATTTTTGAAGATTGTAGTTATCAGACGAGCAAGTAAGTTTCACAGTTGGGAAGTGTAACGGGGGAGAAAAAAAAAAAAAAACTGTTGGAGTAGAAGTGGTGGTTGCATTTATCTATTTCAACAGTAGAGGGGTGGGACCTAGATGCCAATCTAGTAGCATGCTTAAATTCATATAGTTGGGGCACCAGGGAGAAAAAAAAGCTTGTCAGAACAGTTGCCATGAAAATATTTGTAGAAAAGGCAGAGGGAAGCCACATATGTTGCTTAACTCCAGTGAAGAGAGTAATGATTACTTTAACTCACTGATCCACCCCATATATATCTCATCTCTAAATGTTCAATCTGCCCCATGTATGCTCTGACATAATATATGACATCATCATCGCAAATAATGGAGGAAGTTACACAGCGAGACATTGAAAGCCGATATTTACAGGGTGTGTTGAATGCTAAAGGGTTAATCTGTCAGTAGGGTAGCTTGTTGGGATTGAACTTATGACATCACTTAATTGGCCTTCAAGATGAGGTGACACACTCTGGCTACCCCCCCCTTTTCATTTGCTCAATGTAACAAGCTTCAGCTGTCACTCCCTTCTGAAACTTAAATTAAACACTGGAGTTTAAATTTACTAAAACCAACTGCCAGGAGAGAGAGGAAAAATAAATTTGCATGCACTAACGTGAAACATTATTAGGGAAAGGATTTCACCAGACAAGTTCTATTAAACCATGGTCGTATAATGATCGGTTTAAAGCAGACATTAACCTATTAACAACGGCAGATATTTCTGTCATTCGCAGTTGAGCAAGAGAACTGTAATGATGGAAATTCCTTTCATCTGCCATTAATGAGTGAATAAGTACCAAACGCTGAGCAAAATCTCTCACCTCATCAAATGCATTCACTACAACCAGTCAACACTTAAACCTTGCATTAGAGGAGTCCTTTGTTCTAACCAGTGAGCTACACATGTTCTAAAAGGTAACTGAAACAGTAGTAAAGACATAGCATTAGAGAACAAGTGACACATGCACAATATGCAAGCTGTAATTTGAAATTAAATAAAAGGTCAAAGGTGCTAGCAGAGTCGGTCTGTCAATGCATTTAGACAAACAAGCAGTCAGCAATAGTTGGCTTTTAAATAATCAGTTGAATAAAAAGCTGGAAAGAAAAAGAAATTGTCGTCAGGGGAAGGGATTTGTAAATTTTAGAGAAACCAGCAGAAATAGGCCTCATAGTTACAAATGGGTAGTTCAAGATTTCAAATAACAGGAGAAAAAGATAAAAAAAAAAAAAAATGTTTTGTTCCCCTTTTAAGGTGCATTTTTTTATATATATATATATATATATATATATATATATATATATATACACACACACTTCAGGCCTTGTGCCACATCTAAGCTATGAATAGGGAAAGCTATTTATTTTTGAGGCACCTTGAGGTGATGTAATAGTAAGCCTGTCTTGCTAAATCAATTACGACTGAATAGTGAGTTTAATCCTCACTGGGTGCCTCAGCCTTGTGCCACATCTAAGCTATGCTTAAAAAAAAAAAAAAAAAAAAAAAAAAAATATATATATATATATATATATATATATATATATATATATATATATATATATATATACACACACACACACACACACACACAATAAATGAAAAACAGAGAAAAAAAACAAAATATACATATCATATGTTTGTCCTATTATCAGTTTAAGGATTAGACACATGCAAATGAGCATGATCCATTATTTCCTATCGGCAATTGTGAGAGCTTAAATAGTTTAATGTTGCTCCGCATCCAAGGGAATAGAAATTCAAAGCGCCAAAGTATTGCCTTCTACAATAGAAGGAATATTCGAGAAATTTATATTATGTGCAAATTTATATGAATTTCATATTTAAAGAAATTTCTGTAATCATTTTTTCAGATAATCAAATGTTGCTTGTTTAAAGGTTTTCTAAATCAAATATTAATGGATATAGTGATCCTTTAGTATTCAACCATCCTTACCCCAAATATCAGCCCACATTGTTCACCTTGCAGTAATTCGTCCCATGTATACTCTACCATTATACATGGCAAATTGTAAATAACACAGGAAGTCACGCAAACGGTGAAACTTTGGGAGCTGATATTTACGGGACATGTTTGTGTGTGTTGAAGGTGAAAGGATTAAATATTTGCATCAACTGGCATCCTATTATAAAGAAAGAAAGAAAAAAAAAAAAAAAAAACTTATTGTAGGCTTTTTCTCTCAAAGTACTGCCACTATTAAATCATTTAAAAAAAAAAAAAAAAGAAAAAAAAAAAAGAAAAGAAAAACACTTGGTCCAATAAACCAAAGGAACTTTACCGTTATATTGAGAGGGAAGCGTCTCCATTTGTACAAAAAAATATCTGACTAATGGCCAGTATAAGTAACTAGCTGTGATATCAATTATTGAAAGAACATCTCCAATTGCAATGAAATATTGTAAATTGTAGGTGAATAAAATCTGAGAAGCTGTTCGAGTTTGGTCACAAAATGATTTTTTAGTCACCCCCACCCCATGCATTATACTTTATATAATATACAATAATCTTTTTACAATGTATTTTTGATAGACAAGAATTTACAAATTAAATCTATTCTTCAGGAATTTAAAGAGGTTTACAAACTTAGGCAATAAATGAGCAAGTGGGGCAGGTCTTTGATTCATTATTTATTGCGTAACTTGTTTTTGGTGAGGAACAAAAAATAGTAAAGAGTGAGGCACTGAATTGAGTAATGTATATACCAATAATGAATAAGATTACTAGAATTAAACTTATTTTGAAGTTTAACAGAATTTATGTCAAAGTGCTCAAGATGGAACTAGAGCAACAATATTGAAATCAATAATAGTTGACTCATCTCTCAACTGACTTCAAAGTTTCAGACAAACTGCTCATCATTTGTCTATATTTCTGAGATGAGCTATCATGTACATTATTCAGACTATTGTCCTCATCTTTATCACCATATTTATTACGCTTCGGCCTTCTTCAGGTGGTTGGAATATTGAACTGAACCCTTTATTTCACTCACTGGGGTAGACTGTTCTAGTTCCATGTTTAATGGATGTCAGTTATCACCTGTTAATTTCCCTCCAAAAGTTCTCCACTGCCTTAACCAGGTATTGAACTCACACTCCTTGGGTCCTGTCACTGGATCTAACTAACGCCTTTATTTGTATTCATTTCTATGAAGACATTATGGGAACCAGTAATAAGGAGCGCCAGA